AAAAAAAAAGGAAAAATGGGATAATAAAAACTTTTCTCTCATTTCCGTCATAGCAAGAAAAACACAGAGAGATACACACGCAGCACCACAAAAAAAAAGTAAAAAAAAAAATTAATGAAAAAGCAACCCGCAGGTAAAGCGCAAGAAGAAGAAGCGTGCGTAGTGTAGGCTGTCCGCTGCATCTGCCCTCCCTCCAGCCCAACTGTCTATCTCCCCCCACCCACCCACCCTACCCACCTTTTTTTTTTGATCTGCATTTCAACCCCACGCCCTCGTATTCACAAGAACGTATTTCCCACTACCAATGCTGCGTGCCACCATACGCGCACATGGGACTGAAGCCCTTGGGTGTTCTGTTGTTGTATCAATGGAGAGAGAAAGGAACCCCCCCCCCCCCCAATAACGCCTCATGCGCAGAAGGGGAAAATGTATAAAGGGGGTGAACGATATTCAATTCTTCGAGAGCTCGCTTGTCGCCATTTTACTTTGTTATTTATGCCCACCCCTCAGCGTAGCTTTTCTTGCCCCCTCCTTTTAAATTTACGCGTTTCCCCGTATACTCACCGTAAGAGCATATACATGTGCAAAAAACGCACTTTTGTACATGCTCACTAACGTCTTCACGCTTCCAAAGGCATTTGTCAAGCGAGAGCAAAGGCAAAAATAGGTTTTCTGCCAACGCACTCACCTGGCTCTTCATCTAAAACGCTTTTGGAGGCAAAGGCACGGGTTGTGCTTTTACAGCAGCCTTGGATTCACGTGCCTCAAACTGAACGAGCTCTGGCTCTCCGCTCGCGTGCAAAATGAGAATGGCACCCTTGTTTCCTAAACCACAGTAATTAGGGGCAGAGAAGAGTGTCAAAATACGGTGTTGGTGCTGCCACTGATACCCCTCATGAACACACTGATGTGCCCTGACAATGAAGCTCAGTCCATTCTCCTTCAAGAACTGTAGAGTTACGTCCTCCCCAAAGTTGTGTCCTCGACCACGCGCACTGAAGACGTATCCCTTGCTTACAGAGGGAATCGGCACAGGCACAGGATCATCGTAGTTAAAGGGCACACAGTGACGCACTAACCGCTGGGCCTGTCCATTCTCCCCCCCACCGCCGTCCCCGCTACGTTCTCTGGGGTCATCAGTGGGCTCTGTGGTGATAGGGTCAGCCCAGGTAAGATCTGCAAGAGGGCCATCTTCAATTTCACAAAATCGGTCAATTGCCAAGATGCCATCTAAACTGTTTGAGATGAAGGGTGAGAGACCCCCATGCATGGCACAAATCGCAACCCGTTCTCGACAACTTGTAGACAAATCATTGTTCTCCTTATCCGGGGTTGGGTTGGAGTTGGTCACGATTGCGCAAATCGGCAAACTAAGAAAGGCCTCATTTGCCAAGATCCAGAGAGGGTGCTCTGGTAAGCCCCACTCAATGTCGACTGAGCCTCCATCACTTTCACTGTCCCCAGAGTGCAGCGGGTAATGCTCAGAACACTCCTGCAGAAAACCATATTTGCTATTGGTCTCACTGCTTTCGTGGTTGCCACGTAGAAGAAAGACGCGGTTCGGGGCCAATAGTTTGGAAGCAAAAAGAAGCGCCAGGCAGTGAAGACTGTGTGGGCCACGATCCACGTAATCACCAAGAAACAAGTAATTTCGCCTTCCAGCCACCTCCATGTCTTCTTCTGTCTGTGAGCAGGTGTGTTTGTCCACGTCCAAGGGGCCTCCAGCAGCAATAATACTATCCACCAGATCCCGCCACTGTCCGTGTATATCACCAACTACAACACAGGGTATAGACAGCACCACTATGTTGTTTTCCTCCCTAAGCACCTTGATTGTACGACAAATGAGTTCCTCCATCTCCTCCATGGAAGGCAGCTCATTCATAGTGATCAGTTGATGATATATTTTTGCCGCACTAAAGCTAACATGGGAAACCGGTTTTACCAACATCGAAGAGTCACGCGCTGGGGGTGGTTGAACATCCCTGGCGGCCTTTCCACCCCGGAGTGCCTCTAAGAACCCTGTGCCCCGCATTAGTTCTTCATTCTCCAGCTCCAACTCCACAACGCCGCAGAAACGCAAAACGGCGAGGGCTAATCGTGTCCGTACCAAAGGGGGTTCTTTCAGCAAACGTTGTACAAGCGGCTGCTTCCCAATCGCAGAATCGACGGTCTTAACTGCAAACTCTTTCTTTATCATCTCCGAGGCGAGGGACTTCAGTGAGGCAACAAACTGCTTTTTAGAGAGTAAATCTGACAACCCGCAAAGAAGTATACGGAACTCACGGCTCAGTGAGATAATATCACTCAAAGGTAACTCTGTGACTTCTCCTATGCAGCAAACGCCTTGCCCCTCATGGTTCTCCAGCGGAATCTGCACGTCAATCGTCTTCTCCAAACCACCCACTCCGCCGCCATTCTTCGTTGCACGTTTTTCAGGTGATGAAATTTCCTCGTCATCTTGTTTTTTTTTCTTATCCCACTTGGGGAAGAATTTCATCACAGCAGGGATGTCAGATAAGTAATTGGATATGGGGAGACAACGGGGAGCCCCTCTCTCGTTCTCGCACTCGTGCACGCCTCCTGGCGCCCACCAGCAATACACGTGCGTGCGTACACAGACAGCAATTAATACGATGGCCCCCTTACTATGTATGCGTCCACGTGCGCACCGCTCAGCCCCTCCTCTTCCTTTTCTTTTTCTCTTTTGTTTTCCCTTCTCCCTTCGTCACTCTACCCTTTCCTTCCAATTTGACCACGTCACGCGGTGGCCCTCCTTATACCCTAGACCTGTAATGGACGGAAGAAGCAGCATCGAAAAAGAGCAGAAAGAAGAAATCAAAAAGGTAAAAAAAAGTTACTTGGAAAAACAGCAAAGTAGCAAAACACAAAATAAAAATGAGAAGTCAAATCACCGCACAGCTTCCCTCTATCTCACCTGTACAGATACACAGACACAGGCGCACCCGTATACATAGAGAAAACCAAAGACACCACATGTCTGCGTACGTAATACCGGTGGTCGTGCAGAACCCACAACGTTTTACTCATCTTATTGTGGGTGCATAAGAGCCCTTCTGCTCTGCCGTCACAGAAAAATAAACTTTCTTTACGTCCTACATAAACCAGTGGGCTGTGCTTTACGGCTGTATCAACACTTTATGGGGAGAGCAGTCGGGGTCATCGCAGAGGCCGCTCCCCGTGCAGCTTCTCGCTTGCACCGCTGGGTGATGGCACGGCCGCCGTCTTCGCCCATCCACACAATACCATACCATGCCACGAAGAAGCCGCACAACAGCACCATAGATGACTGTGCCGTGCTAGGGTATGCCTCGAAGCCGTACTGCACCGCCACAACGGAAGCAATCTGAAGCGGGAAAGGCAACCGTGTCGCGGACAGCACCATCGGCATTGAATGAAAAAACCACACCAAGAACTGATAGTGAAGGGAACGGGCAAATATGGCCCCAATCAAATTGGACTCCATCATGGTCAAAACAATATTTCTATATACCTCGTCGTCTGAGGTACCAACCTTAACACCTCGGGAATTTCCAAGTTCAACGCTCTTCTGAGTTGTCATCTGGGCAGGCAGAAATCGGCGTTTTGACCACCGCCTACGCCAGAGCAAAAGCCAACTCAATACGGTGAGGAGCAACAACACCTGGCCAAACTCCTTCGATACGAACACCTCTTCAGGGACACACTTGAAGTTGACAGTCCAACGGTGTGTAAATACGCGTCCCAGTTCAAAAGCCTTTTGAATGTACCCTTGCGGCTCCCACAAAAGAAAAGGGAGCGCCACTCCCACTTGCCACATGGCACATACAGTAAGGCACGAAATAACACCGTGCCACGGAAGAGATCGGCAGAGAATTAACAGTAACCCCGGAGCAAAGAGAAATATATTCATTTTTACGGATACGGCCATGCTGTAGAGCAAACATCCAAGCTTCCACCGACGCCCAGTGGCAAGTGCGACTACGGCAAAATACAAAAGTAATATGGCCCAGCAGTCGTTAAAAAGACGCAGCAGAAAAAGTGATCGTATACGCTTCGAGAGAAGAAGACGAATAAGCAGACGCCCACGAATCTTACACCGCATGTACAGCTGAGCAACCACAGCAAAAAGCATGATGTACATTCCTGCATACAACCACTGAGCCATTGCGATGTCCTTTCCTTCCTTTGTAATGAAATAAAGGGCACTGTATGTCCATACAAAACCGCCCGGGTAAACAAGAGGCCCTGTATCGCCCCCAAGCCTTCTGTAATCAAGCTCACCTTCAAGGAATCCTTTGACCTCCTGCATATAGGCATTCCAATCAATTTCCGTGTACGACACAAATAAAACTACGGACAGTGAGATGCAGAGTTCTGCAACAAGAAGTATCTTGATCCACCCGTACCCCATCCTTCCTTTCGTCCCGACTTTTTTTTTTTGGGTTTCTCCTCCTCCCCCACCCCCCACCGTTTCTCTGTGGTTGCGGTTCTCACTATTTGAAGCTGTGTGGCAAAGAAGTGGCCCACAAATTTCACTCCACTCTGCAATTCCCCAGCACCACCACCATGTGCAAAAAAGAAAAAAAGAACGGTGAAGTGCAAGGGACATAGATCAAGCAATCCAAGTACATCCACCGCCATATACATATTTCTTGGGGATGAGTCCATGTTGTTCACTCAGCTAATTGTACCTGCAACTTTGTGAAATGCTTGAAGGAAGTCATTCACCACCATCGTCACCCACCTCACTTCACTTCAAAAAAAAAAAAACGTTTGCTGCAGAGAAGTAGAAATTCTTTTTTTTTTACAAAAAATAATAATAATAATAATAATAATATATATATATATATGTATCCACACCACCAAAAGGGAGTCAATCATAATGCAGGCAGCAGGATGGTTATTTACTTCTCTATGAGTATGGCTTGAACCACAAAAAGTGGTGGTGCAAGCACATGCATGTAGGTAGTATAACGTATCTGGTTGCAATGTGCCACAGAAGGGTCTCTTTCTTTCCCCTTGTTGTGGCACCTTGCATGGTCGGATCATCTCAGTGGCATGGCCGTCATCCCCTCCACCTCCTCGTCAGTGACGGCAGTCCTGATCGACGCGCGGTTCCGCTGCTCCCAATTCACCGCCTCACTCCTAGGGCTGAAACACTTCCAAAACCGAATCGTGTTGTCTACTCCACCGGCAAGAGAAACAACTGAACCCCGATCCACCGTATTCGAGAATGGAGCAGTCAACTGGAGCGGACGAGAGCGATGTCCGGTCATGGCGTAGACCGAAAAAAGCGGAAGTGCCGAGCCATCTAACTCCTGAGTGAACTTGCATCCTGGATGATCCGTGGATTTGGAGCTGGTAAAGCCTAGAGGCACACAGTCACGATGATGCGTACCTCTGCGCCACATGACCAACGAGAATGCTGGTGAATCTCCCGTGCAAGGCGCATCACTTGTCCCAGTAGCCGCCGTCTCACCGTAGTTCGGAGTGGGTTCCTGCGACTCCTCTCGCGCACGACTATTACCGGCCATGCCGCGCTCAAACTCCACCGTCAGACGCTCCAGTGGATTCATGCTCCACCGATGCGTGTCTCCAGCAGTTCCCATGGAATAAGGCGTGTGTAATGCCAGAGGCCGCGCGCCACCATCAACAGGATTCATAGCCGTAGATGGTTTAGCGTGTCGATCACCCTGGGCAGAAATAATAAACGCACCATCTGGGGAGTACAGCGCCTGTGTCACCTGGCAGCCAGTAGAAACACACCATGCAAGCTTTGATACGGAGGATGACACATCATACAACCTCAACACGCCGTCATTTCTACCCCCACCCACAGCAAGTTCGTACGGGAGTGTGGGGTGAAATGCGACCGCTTTGACAGTTGCATGTGCGTTAGGAAGCCTAATCTGTTGCACAGGGGCGCGTGTGTGTGAGAGAGACCATATGTTCACAACCCCGCCACCTCCACCTGTGGCCACAAGCGAACCCGATGCATTCCAGGATACTCCACATATTCCCTCAGCAGAAGAAAGTAACGAAATGCAATCCTCAGGAGTCAGAGGTAGCCTTGGCCTCTTGCGATCAAGAGCAAGTAATGTATCACATCCCACCATTTGCGCAGCAGGTGTTGAGCAGCGACTGTCGAAAATAAAAAGACCCTGCATAGCTGTACCAGCTGCCACCAACCAAGGGTGGGCGTCTGTTGTTGATAAACACCGTACACTCGCCGTAGCAGCCATTGCCGCTTCACCAGAAAGTGGCGTATTTTCAAGTGGGGGAAGTGGCTTTGAGAACAAACTCGTCCGAGCCAATAGACCGTCACCACGTGATGCGTACACACCAACAGAACCATCCAGCTCCCCAAGAAAGCAAGAGTGGTCAGAAAAACGGCTCACAGCTACAGAAGTCACTCTAGAAACCAGGCCACGGTCGCGGTTCTTACAGTTCAGCACAGCCGGGCGCACAGGGGGGCGTGACGGCTGAAAAAGAAGCACCTCATCTCGTAAGGCCAATCCAATGTTTTCCCTTCCCCACGAAAGGCAAGAAGAGTAGAAGTCATCCTGCACGCCATTCGCCCTCAATACACAGTACGGTGACGTCAACCACGTGGCCTGCCACAGTGGTTCCTGCCGTGAAGACTTAGCCGGAGCCCTTGGAATGCAACAACAACTGGAACCATTTTTCCCAAGCTCCCCCCTCGCAAACTCACTTCGCTGCACATTAAGCGGCAACTCCACAAATAACTGCCGCCCCCAGTGTCCTGGGCCACCCCTGACAGAATTTTCGGCAATCATGTCCCTCGACCCGCCACTGGGCACCGCACGCACCCAGATATCCTCCCCAGTCATCTTGCTTGACTAATAAAAACAAATACTCACCGTATTGCAGCAAATATATATATATATATATCAAAGGAAAAAACACCCACTCCACCCAAGCACAAATAGCATAAATACCACCAAAAAAATATGCACCCACAGAACAACCGGCATTACCACCAACGAACTTCAACAGAAGTACCTTTTCTTCCAAGAAGCCCAGCACACTCAATCCTTATACACAAAAACATTTATCAATAATAACTGCAATCATAATAATAATCGTCATAGCTTAACATAAACAACCACTACAAGAACCAAAAAAAAAATATGCTACAAAAACCACTCAATAAAAAAAAAACATACCAAAACAAAAAAATTAAAAACAACAAAATCCCACAAAAAATCCCTAATACATTACATCCATACCGCCCATGCCACCCATACCACCGGCTGCGGGGTTTCTTCCTTTGGCAACTCCACGACAGCGGCCTCGGCAGTCATCATCAGGCTGGCGATAGAAACGGCGTAGGTAATCGCCACACGGACGACACGGGTGGGGTCGATAATGCCCGCCTCAAACATGTTCACGTAGCGGTCACGCTGCGCGTCGTAGCCAACGGCGGCATCATTGGTCTCCAGAACCTTCTCCACCACAACTACGCCCTCCTTCCCAGCATTCTGCACAATTGTGTGCGCAGGCAGACGGACGGCGTTGCGGATGATCTGCACACCGGTGCGCTGGTCCGCCGTGAGAGACGAGTCACCGAGCAATTTGTCAAGCGCCTTGCACGTGCGCAGCAGCGCCACACCACCACCGGGAACGATGCCCTCCTGCACGGCAGCGCGGGTCGAGCACAGGGCGTCCGTGAT